GATCTGTACTGCAAATAGTCAGGGGAGAAATGAATCAAACAGCCTCTCAACAGTATGGAGAACCCAGTCAGAAGAAATAGTAGCTCTGGCACTGCAGAAACCAGCATACTAGAAGAACGGGGGAAAACACCAACCTCTCAACTTTCTTTCAACATGGAAGGGTTGGGATAAACCTCCAGACAATCCCCTGGATCTCCATCCCCTGCTCCCCATACTTAACTGCATCCAGCGACTGGGGTCGCTCCCACGACCTGACCTCACTCTATGATAGAGATATAAAATTTCTGGAAATGTTGAGGTCATGGGGAAAAAATGTTTTTTTTCCTGTTTCTTTCAGAAAAAAAATGGGAATTTTGAGGGAAATTGAAATATATGCAATACTTATTTTCTTAGCACCCTTTACTGATCTAAATTCACTTTGCTACTTTAAGAACATAAAATGTATTATAACTTACTTTGCTCATAAAATTATCGTGTTTGGTATATTTATTAAAATTTAAAAGTATAGTTTATTCAGAAAATAATTACAAATTTACTAATTGAATGCATTTAAAAATATTTTTAATTTTTGTTACAAATGGAGCTACAAGCTGCTGAACTCCAAGGAACTTAGCAGCTCTTAGTTTTTGCTAGTTTATGGGAAGCAGGCAAAGATTAACGTTGAAAATAGAAGAAACCATCAACAACATAGTAAAACAAATAATGTTGCTATGTATTCTGGACTTAGTCTCCTCCACAGTGTCAAGCAGATACATAAAGCACTTTTAGAAAAAGAGCTAAGGGAAAAAAACCCCAAGACTCATTGAATACAAATTTTGCTACATGAAACTTTGTCTAATCAGTCTCATTTTCTGAGCTATCACTATCAGCAGTTTCTGCTTCTTCTGATCCTTCATTTTTATGATCTTCATGGACTTCTGAAAACTGAAGATTTGCCCAGACTGAGACAAGCTTCTCTACTCCTTCACATGTTAGTTTATTTCTTGATTTGGTGCATTTCCAAACATAGACCAGTTCCTTTCACATGCTGGAGAAGATGGAGAAATCTGAAGTCTTTCACTTTTCTTTCTTCTGTACTTGTAAGCAGAGATACACTTAAGATTCAAAACAGTTGATTTCATCTAGGCCGTTTGGTAAGAAATGTCTGACAAGAGTGCACTGTCTGATTCAGATGCAGTGATTGCTGAAGAAATTGGCTTTAGCTCTCAGGGAATTCTGCAGCTGAACCCAGAAGACATCCTCATCAAGTACAGTGTTCCTTACACTTCTGCATACTTTAAGATCCTCAATTCTTACTGGTTCTTGAAGAGTTCCTTTGTTTTTTCAGTAAACTTTCAGATGAGATCACCACTCCACCCCATCTAGTTATGCAGTGATTGCTGAAGAAATTGGCTTTAGCTCTCAGGGAATTCTGCAGCTGAACCCAGAAGACATCCTCATCAAGTACAGTGTTCCTTACACTTCTGCATACTTTAAGATCCTCAATTCTTACTGGTTCTTGAAGAGTTCCTTTGTTTTTTCAGTAAACTTTCAGATGAGATCACCACTCCACCCCATCTAGTTATACTACAGAGTTTGAGTGTCACTATTTTATTCTTTGCATTCTTTTCTTCCTGCTTCTTCTTAAAGACTGCAGCTACAATAAGAATAGCTTTTACATGTTTTATAACTTCTTTTGCTCTTCTATAGATTTTTTGCAGAACGTCCAATTTCATGATGTCATTAAGCAGCAAGTTTAGCCCATGGGATGCACATCCTATTGCAGTAATGTGGATATTTATCCATTATGATCTTCTATGCTGCTTTCATGTTACTTGCATTGTCAGGCAGCAAAGCAAATACTTTACCATTCTCAATCTTCTGTAGGACTTCACATATTTTACTACTGATATACTCTGCAGTATGTCTGTTCTCTCTTGTTTCAATGCTTCTGTAAAAAACTGGTTGAGGTGTTATTAACACAAAGTTTATGATTCCTTCTTCCCGCACACACATCCAACTGTAACAGGGACTCAGGCGGAAGCCCTGTTACTGAAACAATTTCAGGCATGACCGACCCGACGCACTCCACCAGGTGAAGGGGATCACACACCCGGGGCAAAGCAAGGTGATTAGCCCTCCACAGCCGGTATATATCCGGCAGCGGGACACATGCAGTTTGCCTTCGGGCATGAGGGGGCAGACTAGAGGCTACCGAGACCCCAGAAGACGAGGAAGACTAGGAGGCCGCCTGGTGATCTAGGGGGAATGCCGAGACCGTGGGACTCAGGACGACACGATCACTCAACTGAGACAAGCTACGTACCTGGGAATCTCAGCAGTTCCGGCAAATGTGGGGAAGAGCCGGGGCTTCATGGAACGGCTCAGCGGGGGAATTCCGGGTGAAGACAGTCACTCTGGGATGATGGGCAGGCAGGAGGAGCTCGCATAAACCCCCGAACCCTTGGGACCAGCTATGATGCTGAAACCAGTGGTGCAGCAGGCGGCGGAGCAGCCAGGACCACTCCTGGCACGAGGCAGACACAAAAGACGCGGAGAATGCGTCTCGCTAACAAGGCAATTAACGATAGAAGCGGTAACCACTACAATGTATCTGTAAAACGTCTGCTGCCTAGTTACCTTATCGGCAACACAGACTCTCCTTGCTAATTAAGTAATTAATTGCTACTGTGCAACACCCTCCTGGGAAATAAAGCAACACTGTGAAAAGTTACCAACTGGGTGGCGGTAGTGATTCCTAGCCCAGAAAGATCATTGATACCCTCTTCTTTTCCTTTCTATCCAAGTCGTGGCAGGAGAGTCTGGAGGAAGGTAGGGCTACGATCCTTCACCCGCTCACACCATCCATCTGTAAGTACTGAAAGACAGTGCTTTGTTGATTTTTTCCTTGCACAGATTGCATTATATGTTCATATTCTGACTCTAAAAAAGGCCTGCTCAAAGAATGTCTGCTGGGCAAACAATATGATGGTCTTAGTAATTTAAAAGCTTCTTGCCAGTATGTATTTTCAGTTATTGACAATGGCATCCCAGAAGAATACACTGCTCTTGCAAGAACTTGGTCAATTTTTTCCTGATCTTCAAGTGTCATCTTGTCTACATATGAAACTATTGAGTCTTTTGTATACAGTTGGTTGCAATCTTTGGTTACTTGAGGATGCTGACTGTGCAACCCTTTGTAATGCTGATGTTATAGAAGAAGCGGCAGCAGTAGGAGGACTTCTGCAGCAAGAACACTGGAAAGAGCTACTTGCACTTTCATCATCACGATCTACCTCCTCCTCACTTATACCCATGAAAGATTTTTTAATGTCTGTAGGACACTTCTTACATACAGGAATGTGTTTGGTCATCCTAGTAGCATTTGGAAATGCATATTTCATTTGACAGTATTTGCAAAATCCCATTTTTTTCTCAGAATAACTTGCAGCGTGGAAATGCTTCCACATGGTAGAAGTTGGTTGCACCATTTTGCTGAGAGAGAAAAAAGAAAAATGTAATTTAGTGGCTAGCTTGCATATATAAACACTAAGCTACAGCATGTACAAATTTAGTAATGGATGGAGAAGAGGCCTCCTCAGAGTTAACTGTGAACAACTTCCCTGCCCTGCAGGCCTCACCTCACTGCTAAGGTTAGGCTATTTGTTACAAAACATCAGATTAGTAGAAATTCAATTATGAATTGCATAGGTTATGAAAATATGTTAATGCAGCTAAAATAGTTTAATATACTGAATTCAGAGAAATTTAAACTCTTACCTTTCAATAAAGAAGTACACTTTCTTTCAGCTCTTTTGTGCTGTTTCTGTACTTCTGTGGATCTCAAGGTCACAGGGCCAGGAAGAGGCAGGTTCCTTCCAACTCCAAAACTTTTAGACTTGCTTCGTCTCCTCTCCTGAGGCTTTTGAGCAAGCAGGGCAATAAGCTCCTTGTTTCTAATCTCTACAGGAATGAATGGATGCTGCTGCCAGTGTCCACTCCCACTCCTTTGAGGCCTAGTCAGGAGGACCTCTAGATCAAAAGTCAACAACAGAGGAAGTCCACAAGGAAAGGCAGCACTGAATCCTTCTTCCTTCTCTTGTGAAAATGGCAGTGCCCCCTGGGGGCAGAAATGCATCTTGCTCTTGCATTTGAGAGTTGTACTGTACTGCTTGTCCTCGGTGCACAGGAATTGTAATGATCTGATACAGTAGATAGTCTTACATAAAAGTCTTCCTATTACATAGTTATTAGAAAACATTTTTGGGGAGTAAAGGGTAGCAATATATGAACACCTTGTCTTGACCATTTTATTCATCATTCTAAAAGTAAATATTTCATAAGAGGGGGTGGGAATGGAATGGAAAGAAAAACACCCTCAGTTTTTTTCCCCAATTTTTTATGGGTTCTCTCTCTAGGCCTTCACATCTCTACTCTATGCTGGCCATATGCATTTGCACGTGCAGACGCACATGCACCCACTGCCTCCAAATCATCCCAAGCAGCTGCTTGCAGGCTGGAATGCTGGTCAGCCTGCAAGAGGAAACCCAGGCTTTTGGAATGGAAAGAAAAACACCCTCAGTTTTTTTCCCCAATTTTTTATGGGTTCTCTCTCTAGGCCTTCACATCTCTACTCTATGCTGGCCATATGCATTTGCACGTGCAGACGCACATGCACCCACTGCCTCCAAATCATCCCAAGCAGCTGCTTGCAGGCTGGAATGCTGGTCAGCCTGCAAGAGGAAACCCAGGCTTTCACAGGTTTTTCTGGGGACTTGCTCACAACCCTTTCAAATATTCTTGCAACCGACTTTTGGGTCATGACCCACTGGTCTAGATCAGTGACTCTCAACCAATAAGCCCATTTTTCTCATCACTCTCAGCCACCAAGGAGCAGAATACCAGGAACCGTTTTAGTCAAGGATCCCTAACTTCATGAGAACTGGCAGCTCCAAGATCCTATTCCTGCTCAGGCTCATCCCCACCGAGGTATACAAAGGGCATGTAAAAGGAACACTCACCTGGAACCTGTGAACCAACTCCAATGACTGGCTGTCATTTTGGTCTGCTTCAAGGATGACGTCTGTCAGTTTATGTATGATCACATCCAGTGGGCCCTGATCTTCAATTGGTTTAGTGAGGTCAAGCTGAAGGAATAAAGCAAAGAGAAACCTTTATTAATAAAAGCCCAGATTCAAGGCCTTTTCCTCCCCACATCCATGTTTTCAATTCCCAGTATCCCCAAAGTGTGGGGATCACTGGGCCATCACTGTTAGTATTTAACTTCAAATTTACTGGTGGACTTTTTCAATCACTTCCCATTAGAAACCCATGGAAAATGCATTTCCTGGGCTGCCCAAAAGGTTCAACTTTTCACGGAGAATAGTAACAGGTTATAGCCATTACCAATATGCAAGACCACCACATTCAAATTGCCTCTGCAAACCCACTTGGTACTGCCAAAGATGGAAGGAATGAGTCTATGCTATTCATCCATATTTTTAAAGGAACGTTTGCACCCAGCTGTATTTTTCTCTTCGCTGATTAACCACAGGGAACAATGCCCAGTTTTAACACTTGATACGACAGAAGTGTTGTAGGGCAGGTGAATACCACAGCAGGAGCAGGCCCAGGTTTGGATAGCCCTACATATGCCCCAGTCACCTATTCCCACTTGCACCCTCCAAACACACAACTGCAGTAAAGAGTCTCTGGGGACCACTCCCAAGACCCTGGCCTCTGGCAGGCATTAGAGCAGCTGTATCTGCACCAGCCTATTTCTGTGTCTAGAGTTTATGAGAAGGAGCAGGAGGGCAGGGCCATCCTGGCCAAGGCATACAACTACTGTGGCATAGATGTGTCCTCATAATGCTAAGTTATTAAAATGCTTTGGAAATGTTACTGTGTATAAATCCTAGGCAGTCTCATGTGCCAAGCACTATAACAGATTGTCCCTATTGGCAATCAACTACACTACAAGAGACTGCAGCTATTCAGTTGACCATGCAACCCATTACCGCTCGTGACATTCATGTATGTTTTGCTTGGAAACCCGTAACAAGAATGGCTTTATCTAGGATGCACAAGAGTTCATCACCATAAACCAAAGCCAGCACATACTCTTATTGTTGCCACCATCCTCCTCTACATTACTGCTATTCCTTTTAGCCTACTACACATACACGCACTTACAATCTAAAGCTAGGGCTCATCTTCACCGCTGTATTAATTCAAGCTATAAATTCAAGTTTTACTGTAACCCAACTCCCACCCATGCACACAAGTTTCTGGAGATAAGCTTTAAGCTTCAGCAAAGTGGCTTCAGTGGGGTGGATTGGACCTCAAGCAAGTTTCCTAATGCTCAAACTGGTAACATGATGGGGACATGATGGCTCACACTACAGCACCGTACTGGATGTAGCTAGAGCACTTTCACAGGGCATTTACTCTCTCTCACTTAAGCGAGGCTAACCCAAAGGAAGGAATTCTAATATAATCAAACTAACTGTTGTAGTGAAGACATGCCTATCTGGAATACCAGTTCCTCAGAAGAAACCTCCTATGTTTCTCAACTAAAATATCACACACTTCTATATGCACAGTGACAAATCAACGCTGTTTAGAATACTGCATCCTAGAAAGCTTGTAAATACAACTCAGTACAATTAAAGCTACTGTCCTGATCTGTAACCATTTTATGCTGGAAGTTTACGTAATGCAGAAACCTTCAAAATGAACACACAAGGCATAATAGAGTCGAAAGACAGATGACAAAGGGTGCTTTAGCTGTGGTTGGAGAAGAATGCCACTGCAGGTCCTGAGGTGACTAGTCCAGTAGTTGCATCAAAAACAATGGGGCTATTAACAACAGTAAAATTAAGCACATGGTACTTGCAGGACTGGGACCCAAACAAGGTGAGATACTGTTTAGTCCAGGACTCCCACTGAAGCAGCTGCTACACTTCTGTCACAGTGCAGGAGTAGGGTTACCATACATCTGGGTTTTCCCAGACATGTCCTCTTTTTGGATTCTCCAATCTGCATCCGGGCAGTTTTTTTAAACTATGATCAAATGTCTGGGATTTTGGTCAGCTTAGCATCAAAGTTTTTCCTGAACTTCCCCGCTATCACTAGGGGAAGTTGTCTGGGTGCTAGGCTTGCAGTAGGGCAAGGGAGGTCAGCGAGGCACCTAAGCCCTCCAGCGGGGGAGGGGGGAGGTCCTTCAGGGGCAGCTGGAAGCTGCACGGCCAGCTCGGCAGCACCGGAGCCCGGGCCAGTGCCTGTGCTTGCAGGGGTGGTGCAGTGGACAACAGGTTGGGAGTGAGGGGAAGCAGCAGGGTTGTGGCTTGGGAGTGAGGGACAGGGGCAGGGGCAAGGCATGGTCATATACGGTCCCCCTCCCACAATCATATTACCTCCCTCCCCCCACTGAAAGGCCAGCTCTTTTGAAACTAGAAATATATGATAACCCTAAGCAGGAGATGAAGGTGAAGTTGTAGACCTGAAGCTAGTCATAGAACATGACTTAATGCAAACTACCTCAAAAAGCCCAGTGGTTTTCTCCACAGCTGCCCATCATGCCTCACAGGAGAAGACAACATCAAATCTCTTCATTTAGGTTTCAAAATGCTTACTTCTTACAGAGGCACAGAAATTCAAAGCAATCCATTTGCAAACCATCTAGCTTAGGAAGTGGTAAGCAAGGGGAGCCAACAGGTGAGCTCTGCATTTTTATTGCTCTTTTAGCTCTCCCAGTAAGGAGACTCGGAAAACCAGATGACAGTCCTTCCCATTAGCAAGCAACAGCCATGACCCAAGAATAGAAACAAGGCTTTAAGGCACGCACAGACATTCTGAGCACACTGTCTTCCAGACATTCAAGGCATTTACACAAAATAGGTTCTTTATGAGAGTTGTAGAGTCTAACAGCAACGTGAATGTTTTCTGAATGGAAACAGAGGGCGTGCACTCTGCATATCCTATGGATGGCATTGGGAAATGCACTCAAAGGAGTGATCTGCATATATCAGCTGTGCGCTGGCCAGCACCGTTGTTTTGCCTCCCTCACCTCCAGCTGCTGCTCCTGCTGCTGCCCCTGCCACGCCACTTGGGTGGGCGAGTGGGAAGCTTCAGCCCGGCGGCTTCTGCCGAGCGCACTGAGCTCTGACTCCAGCTCCCACGCACCTTCCATCCACTCCGCTGCCTGGTGCAATAAGCAGCCCCTGCGAGCAGGAGGAGGGGGTAGAAGGCAGCCAAGAGCTGGAGCCAGAGTTCTATGACCCGGGCAGAAGCCGCCGGGCTGAAGCTCAGACCCAGCTGGAGCAGCGCTGCATGGTGCAGCAGGAGCAGGAGCCACAGCTGGAGGTGAGGGGAACAGAACACCCTGCTCAGTCCTGCCAGCACACAGCATCCCCTTGCCTCCAGCAGCCGCTGCTCCTCCTGCCACTCTGGGTGGGTGGAAGTTTCAGTCTGACTTCTGCCCAGCACATGGAAATCCAGCCCCAGCTCTCGGCTGCCTTCTACCCATTCCACCCACCTGCAGGGGCTGCTCCTTGCAGCTGGCACCGCCTAGCTGGCCCGGGCAGCTCACTGACCAGGCAGCCACCACCCGTGCTGCCAGACCGGGCTGTCACTGAGCTGCAGCCAGCTGGCAAGGGTCCTGTCCCCACAGCCCCACTAGGCCATTCCCAGCCAGCTGCAGCTCCATGACAGCCCTGCCCAGACAGGGTGCAAGGAGCCAGGAGCAATCTGGCAGCCCCAGTCCAAGCCGCAGCCCACTGGGAAGGGCTTGGCCCGTGGCCCAGCCCATGCTGGCCCCTCTGCATCTACCCTCAGGCCCACCCAACTCAGCCCCACAGTTCCAGCCACAGCTGCATGCGAGGCAGGTGGATGGCGGGGCCATGGCAGCTGGCTCTGGCTACACCCCCACCCCTGCTCTGGCCAGAGTAGAGGGGTGGGGCCAGCCCTGCTCTCTGGAGCAGAGAGCCCAGCCCTGCAGAGCATGCTGAGGGACCCCAATTTAACTTAAACCAGGAAGGGGTCTGGGACAGAAGTTCCAAAAACCAGTTTGACACAAATCATATAAGTTTGATACTACATTCAATCAGGTTCATCTTAAACCAGTTTCAGCCATTTTGAAACTAGTTATTTATGTGCACTGAACTTCTGTTCTGTTTCAGGTTTAAACCGGTTTCTGATCACAAACTAGTTTGTGTGTAACTTCTGTCCCTAGCCCAAGTCAACACACTAATCAAGTTTACTCTGTCTAGAAATTTAATGCTTGCTAGGTCACATTAACCAGCAATTTTAGGAGGAAGAACAGCATCTACATTTCAACTACACAAGTCTGTGGTTTCATCCACTATTACATGATCCTGAAGATCATACTGTTTGCAAAAGTAAGATCTCTGTGTTCTGGTCTGAACTGCAGAAGGTAAACATTTCTGAGTTATGCAGGATTTGGAAGAGATCCACCTTCCTTTGTATACTGGCATAGAAAATCTTTTAAAAATGAAGCCTTTTCAAGAGGAATATCAGCTCCAGTAACAAGCCTGACAAAGCCTCGCACAAACTTTCTGATGATCCTCTACTGCAACAAACAAGGAGTTAGTGTTTGTCATCAGCTGGAATCAGAGCCCTCCTGCTTCCTGTTTCTTTCTTCAAGTGCCCCTTGCATTTGACCTGATTGCCCAAAGGTTTGGTTTCAAATAGAGTCAACGCCATAGCAACAAGAGAGAAAAAAAGGTTTAATCAGCAGCGGATTGAAAAACGGTTGAGCAAACACCTCCAGTGTATTTACCTGTGGTGTTCCTATTCTTTCTGATAACATTTATTAGAATATATGAATATTACCTAGAAGAAATTTGCTTCAGTTACCCAGCAAAATGCAGTAAATCAATGACGAAGGAATACAGAGCAAAACCTGTTAATGTGTAGCAAATGGCAAATACCAAGACTATGCTTTCCAAGCTCTACAAATCTGTGGGCTGAAGAAAGCAGTAACTGCTGAACTTGCACATACAGAAATGCCAAGTTGCAACTAGAATGTCGGTCCTTTGACATAAATACAGGTCTGGAATTATAAATACAGATCTGTACCCTTGGTCTTTAATTGCAGGTCTCTCCAGCTTATATTTCCAATACAGAG